GAGCGCCGCCGCGTGCGCAACCCAGGAGCGTACGCCGGCCGCCCCTGCGCGAGCGCTGCCCTTTCCCTTTCAGTCCTTCTTTCCAGCAGCACCCGCCGCAGTCCATCGGACGGGCGCAGCTGCTGCACCCCGGCACCGCGTGTCCCTTGCCCCTCCCCTGGTGATTCGCCCCATGGCCCCCAGCCCTCGGCCCCTCCCTCAGGCCGCCCCAAAATTCATCGCCCCGCGCGCGCGCCGCGGCCCCCCGCGGCCCCTGCTAGCAAAACAGCCGCGGCAGCCTGTTTGTTGCCCCGTTGCAGTTAGGCAGGCGCCCGCACCATGCAGTTGCAAAACCCCCGGCTCTGTCCCTTGGTACGCCTAGTCAGCAAGCAAGGACGCAACCGCACCCGAGCTCTTACTGCGCGCCAGTGTTATTAGACAGCCCCAGCCCCTTGCGGGCCGCCAAAGAGCCAGCCGTGCACCACCGGCCAGCCGCCCGCACAGGCGCGGCCAGGGGCGGCCGACGAGGCGCTCAGGCGCCGGAGGGCACGGGCAGCGGCCGGCGCGGCCGCCAGGCCCCTGCTAGTGTTGCGGGGCAGCCCAGCGCTAGACATTACAGCGAGTAAAAAGCGAGCGCGTCAATGGCGTTTGGGCGGCAAGACCTCGTCCAAAAAAGTCTCATCTAGAAACAACAAAGCGTGAAAAATGTCAGGCGCGTCGCAAATCAATGGCGCCGCCTGAACCCCGGTGTGCGCCCCTCGAGGCCTGCGGTTGTACGCGCGACGGAGCTGCCGCCTCCGCCGTCGCCACCAGCTGAGGCACCACGCCAAAATCCCGACCCAGCTCAAGAGCAGGACAGCCGGCAAACGATCAAGGGTTTGCAGCGTGGCAAGGCACTATGAGCGAAACAGCGGGCCGCCACGCGACCACCTGCAATTGCGAGTGACAGCCTGCAATCGGCGCCATCGCGTCGAGATCCCAGGATCTCCACTCTCACCATCATTGACCTGTCCTGTACCAGATCTCAGATCTCAAGGTCCCAACCAAGAATCTTAGGCATCATGTAATTCCCTGACTGGCCAATAAACTGGACGGTCAAAATCCCTGTCTTTCCCCGCCTGGGACAGAATAGATCAGACCTTGGAGTTGTGCTGCGCCACCATGGCGATGATGGAGGGGTCTGCCCAGCTGCCGCTGCCGTCGCTGCTCTTGTAGTGCACCCCCAAGGCGTCCCAGGAGCCTTTGTTGGTACCAAGGGGAGGGGGTCGCCAAGGAGGTTGTGTGTGCGCGCGCGCACATGTGTGTGTGTGTGTGTGTGTGTGTGTGAGAGAGAGAGAGAGAGAGAGAGAGAGAGAGTGGCTCCGCAGGCGCCCGACATGCCTGCATTCCACGTATTGCAACGTCGCATGCGTGCAAGCGCGCTTCGATGTGCCGCATGCGTGCACAGGCCCGGGGTGACAACTCGCGCTCACCGGCAGTCCAGACGTAGATGCGCGCGACTGGGAACTGCGGGCCGCCGCCGTTGGCCAGCCAGTACGAGGTCATGCGGTAAAGGTAGCGCCTGCGGGTGACGCCGGGCCGCGGCGGGTGACGACGGGCCACGCCCGGTTACGACGGGGTTTAAGATGGGTTTCAGCTAAGGCCGACGCCCAGCGGGGAGATGAGGGCCGATGTATGTCGTACCGCAGATCAGCTGCTGGCGGGTTGGCAGGCACCTGCACGGGTAAGGGCCTTGCAAGCCAGCTCGCATCTTCAAGCGGGCCGTGCGGCGGCGGGGCGTGCTGAGGGTTTGGTCACCTGTAACCCGCGTAGTCGGGGATCTTCCAGGGGTTCTTGTTGTCGGCGTACTGCGGGTGACAGGTGACACGGGTGATGCAAGTGAGGCGGGTTATGCGAGTGACAGCCCAAGAACAAACCTGCAGTGCCCTGAGCAACGAGCGAGCGGGCGTCCTCATATCGTACGCGTGGCTCATGGCTCGTAACCGGTTTCGGGAAACGGAGCGCGTTGTTGAATTTTATTCAATGCTCATGCATACTGGGCGCGTTCGTGCCTTGTCCTTGCCGCATACGCGCTGAACATGCCTCTCAGAAGCCGCCGCGCGCCTCTTACCGGGTACCAGAGGCCGAAGAAAGGGAACCCAGCCACATCAGCAAGCGACTTCGCAATCGAGTTGCCGTCCTGGGTGCCGCCGCCCACGCCCCACTCGCTGATGACCAGCTACGGGGCGGCGGCGAGGCGCGCAGTCCGGGAGGCCCCAGAGCGTGTCAACCGATTGCACGCGTCAACGTGTGGTCAGGCCGATGGGGCGTGCATGCGATGAGAAGGAAGGCCGTTCCCCTGAGGCGGACGGACGCACGGCGGGAGTCGGACGCAGGCGGCCGTGCTGCCCGGTATACGATCAGAGCAGCTGCCCCGCACCTTCTTGCCGCTGTTAAGCAGCTGCTTCAGGTTGATGCCCGCGTAAGACAGCTCCTGTGAATTGCGAAAGCGTGTACGCTGAGGCTCGGAGAGCAGAAGTGTGTCCAATTTACTGCCGACCGCCCCGGGCGGCGCTCAACGACCGCCAGTGCATGGGCGAGGCCATGCCACACAGCAGGCGTGCCACCGTTGTGCGGGGCGGACGCCCTGGGGGCGCGAGCAGCCTCGGAGCACTCCGGACATTCGGACTGTAAAACCAAAAACGCAGTGGGCTCAAAATCATGCGGCCGTGCAGCTGTATGAGAGGATGAATGTGATAACACCTGGGCCCAGCCCCCAGCCCACAATACCTGTGAATGGTACTGCAGGGCGATGGGCAGGTCCACGTACTTAAAGGTCGGAGTCAGCGGGGGGTAGGCTGCAGTGCAGGGCGGTACAGGGCGGTGCAGGGTGGTATGGGGCAGCACAGGGTGGGACAAGGTGAGACAAGGGCGGTAAAGGGCGGTACAGCCTGAGGGTCTAAGATCCGTTTTGCAGGTCACACTGTCTCAGGGCTCGGTGGGGGCCCAGGCCCATGGCGGCGGCAGGCAGGCGTGCAGGGTTGTCTCTCGCAGCCACCACGCGCGCGCGTGCGTAGTGGTGCCGCTTGGTAATGCCAGCCCCGCTGCTGCTGGCCAGCTGGCTGGTTTGGCTCACCGCTGACTCCGAGGACATCGATCGCCTCGTATAGGCGCTTCATGTTGGGCAGGTCCATTGGGTATTTCTTCACCTGCTCCTTCCACTCCTGGTAAGGGGTGGTGGGTTGTGTGCGTGTGTGTGTGTGTGTGTGTGTGTGTGTGTGTACGCGCGTGCGCAAGGGCAAAAACACATACATTGCGTTCATTGGTGAGAGTTGCATGCGCAGCTCCCAGTTGCCCAACAACTCTTTGCATCGCAACTCTTGACTGGGCCCCCGACTGCCCGGCCCTGCATCTGTGTTTCTCACCCGGTCAAAGTTTTTTGAGATGTACTCAGGGCTGATGGAGTCGAAGTCGATCCAGCCGTAGCTGCGGGACGTTGGTTGAGGCGGGGGGCGGGGGCGGCGTTGGTCGAGTTGAGAGCAAACGCGACAGGGCTGTGCGAGCAAGTGCGGGAGGCAGGGAGGGTGTCTGACAAAGGCTCAGAGTGAGCAAAATGGGGCATGCCTCTGGAGAGGGGGGGGGGACCGTCGACAACGTTGATAGGTTGCAACCAGCCCCGCTGCACCTGCACGCCGAAGCAGGGGCGGTCAGCCAAAGAGGCGAGGGGCTAATTCGTGCTGTCCACGAGGGAACGAGCTGCACGCAATAGCCCGAGCGTGTGCACGCGGCGCCGCCCAGGCCCTCACAGCTTGTTGTAGTTTAGGGAAACGGCAATGTTCGCGTTTGGCCGCGGCAGGCGACCCCCTGCCATCAGCCAGCTGCGGACCTGGGGGAAATTTCAAATGATGAACAAAGGGAGGCGTGAGCCCGCAAGCGTGAGGGGGCGGTTGAGCCGTAGGGACATGGAGAGGCCGTGGGCAGCGGCAAGAGCGGCTGAGGCCGCCACGGGGCGGTTTTGAACGCTGAGGTGGCGGCGCACGAGCGGCAGGCCCGCTACACCAGGGCCTGTGCTGACGATCAGCGGGCCCAGGTGCGGCCTCTGGCGGGATCCGAGGCAGGCCGCCCTGCGCCCACTGCGTTGCCCCCAGGGAACGCACCTCCGGCACGAGCTCGAGCCACTGCTTGCTGTACTGGCTGACGGACTTGCCGGTCTCCCCGTTGAGCGTGAAGATGACCTTTGTGCTGGGCCTGTCGCGGAGGGATGCAGGGGCGCGAGACCGAGGGTTGAGCTTCCCAGGAGCCGCCTCGGCCGTCAGCGAGAGTGGCGCGGCCGAGGTTGAAGCAAGCGGAAAACAAGAGTCGGGGCGGCACGTGGGCCTGTGGACCCGTGAGGGGGGGCGCCGCTGGTTCACCGCGCGAGAGGCACACGAATGGCCGCCCCGCAGCCCGAGGCGCGAGCGGAGAAAGGAAGCGCCCCCGACCATCCTCCGACGCCCGACGCTCTGATCTGATCTGAGCGGCGCGCGCGCGCGCGCAGCTCACTTGACCGCCGCGTTGACCGCGTCCGCCATGGGCTTGAGCACGACGTCCTTGTAGCTGTAGCCCCCATAGCTGGCCTTGGGGCTGAACTGCGGGACCACAGGCCAGGACGCAATCAGAAGGGCTCAGATAGCAGGTTTATCCATCCACGTTTCGTGAGTAAACGGGAGCAGGGCACACATCCAGGGCAGCGCGGCAGGCTGCTCAACCCTGTTGCAGCAGCGCCTCTGGCCACCGCCGGCGGCACGCAGCGCAGGGCGGTCGACTGCAGACACAGAACGGCCGAACATGCAGCTCGCCCTTGAGCACCCGGGCAGGGCGCAGAAACAGCCCCACCCCCTTCTCCTCAGCTTCTCCCCTGGCAAGCCCGTTGCTTCCCCCTCCCCCCCCCCCACGATCATGATCTTGACCTAATCATATCCCTCACACCTGCAGGATGTTGCGCCAGGTGTACTCCCTCATATTGTCAAGATGGGCCTGCAGGGTGGGTTGTGGATGGAGCAGCGGTTTCAGGCACCCGGGATGGGGGCTGGCCAGGCACCCGTACATGTGTGATGATTGCGATTGCAAGGCGTTTGGAGCGGTCAGATTGCTGGGGCGTCGCAGAAATCAGCACAGGGTGCAGACAGGAAGCCCTGCGGGTCGCCGCTTGGTTTGAGAACCGGCTGACATGTGTAGGCGGCGGAACTGGGCCCTGAGGCCGCCTGATTTCAAAAAGGGCCCCTCAAAACAAGCCGTGAGCGCTGAAATTGCCTGCACACTATGCAGTGGATGCTGTTGGTGCGTGTACCTTGTGGCTGGGCAACGGTCCAGCGCTTCCCTTGTACTATATCAACACCCCCGCCCCCCGCCCCCTGTGTCTCACCAGGATAGCAATGTCCAGGCCTTTGCTGACAGCGTACTTCACACACCTGGGGGCGCACGCGCACATGTGTGAGTGTGTGTTTGTGTGTGTGTGTGAGTGTGTGTGTGTGTGTGTGTGTGTCTGTGTGTGTCTGTGTGTGCCCGTGCTCGCATATGTACGCACGCAACCGCGCATGCATGCATGCGCAAGACAGCATGCCTTGTTCCCTGCCAGCGTCCCTGCTTCCCACATGCCAATGTACTCCCCCACAACCCTGCAAGCACCTGTCCGCCCTCCGCACTTTCGCCTCCCGTCATGCCTGCGCCCCCAAACCCGAACACGCGAAAGTGCATAACATCACCCTGCCAAACAAAGGTCTCACTTGGTCAGCAGATCTTTGTACTTTGCAATGTTCTGAGGGCTGATGTCCTGGCAGCTGTAGTCCTGGTCCCTGATGCCACACGGGCAGTTGGCGGTCGTGAGCGGTTGTGGGCAGTTGTGGGTGTTTAAGGGCGGTTGCACGAGGAGCGGGGTGTGAGGGGTTGTTGGCGGCTGGGCGTTGCGTTTGGCCTGTGCAGCTGGTGCGGCCGACGAGCAGCATGGCGGCGGGAAGTGAGCCCCTAGCTGCCCTCTGCTGCAAAAGCCGGCCGCATACGACGTTCCAGCAGCCGCGAAATCACAGCCACAGCATGAGAGAAGCACCAACACCTCAACGCTGGCAAGTCATCACCACGAAACCGTTTAACAAAACCAGGACCCGGCCCCCCTTGGCAGCCGTGCTGGCATTAAGCAACCCTGCCGAACGCCGCCGCGCCTGTCAGCCGCGCCCCTCCCGCCGCCCTCCTCGTGCACGCCGCATGACCCCGCCGCGCGGACACGCCCCCCGAGCGCCCGGCGGCATCGCAGCTGCCCCGCGCCGGGGCGGGCCCCGCTGTCTCGGGAGGGCGCCGCCCCCGGCCCGCGGCCCCGCGTGACTCACCTGTAGCAGAACCGCTGGATGCTCTGGGCGTTGCCCCAGTAGTGCACCGTCGGCACAAACTTGATGCTGTTCGCCTTGAGCTTCTGCGAAGAGGACACGCAAAGAGCAGAAGGCGCCGGCCGTCGGGGCGTGCGGGTCGGCGAGCGCGGGGCTGGCGAGACCGGGCGACGGTGCGTGCGGCTGGCAGGCGAGAAGGGCGGCCGCGTCGGCCCAACGAGGAAGGCGGCCTGCTGATGCGAACCCGGGCTGAAACGGTGTCCGCAACCCGCCGCCCGCTGGCACGCGCGATGGACCCCGCCGCGTGAACACGCCCGTGCCCTGCGCCAGGAGTTGCCATCCATGAGCGCCGGCGGCGCAGCGGCCGCGCGGCGCGCGCCGCCGCTGCGGCCGGTTGTCGGTTCGGCCGCGGGGGGCGCTGCTTTGGGAGCCCACAATCCCAGGCGTCTGTCCCCTCCAGAGACACAGAGGCGTGTTGCCCAGCCCAGGCTGCAGGGGCCTGGCAGCTGCCAGGCGGCTGCCCCCCAATCAGCGCACCAGCGCATTGTCGACCATCGTGAAGCAGGGCGCGCCCATTTCACCCATGTTAGTCATCACGACGGACGGCGTGAACTCGGCCACTAGACGCGGCAAGGGGCCGGGGGCGGGAGCGGGGAGCGGCGGCCGAGGGGCCAGTGTGCTGGGCGTCAAAGGGAGGCGAGCACAACACGAGCCAAGGGTCCAGCGGTCCGCCGGGCTCTAGCTGGCTAGAACGGGGAGGGGAGTCGGCCATGCGCTGCTGCTTACGCGCGGCGCGCATGAGACTGCGCGCGGGGCCGCGGCGCCGGGGTGGGCGGCGTAAACGCGGGTGACAACAGGAGAGGGGCATTGGGCTGGCCTCACCGCACCTGCAGCCCCGGCGGGCGACGCCAGGATCGCGAGTGCTGCGAGCGCTGCGATGCATGCCGCCAGCGCGCGCCTGGATGACATGTCTTCGTGCCCTGCGACTGCGGGTGGTCGAAGAGGCAGGTGGGCCTGAATGAGATGGCGAAGCGGCGTCAGGTGTGTGCCGCAGCGAGGGGCGCAAGGGACGGGGTGGGGTGCCTCTGGCGGCCACTGTGTCGCACTGCGCAGCAGGGTGGTTCCCGCCTTCGAGGCCGAGAAATGTTATTATAGCATACCCAATGATGATCCCTTCCAGTGAGCCAGCAGCGAGCAGGCGAGGGACAGTTGGGCCAGAGAGAGCAACTCCGTGTCGGTCACCGGAGGCACAGCTGCTGCCAGGCCTCTGCGACGTAAAACCACCGTCAAAATGTGTGGTGTGAGCAGATCTCACCTTTGAAGCGCGGTCCAGCCGCTGCAGGGCTCGCTGCTTCAGTTCGAGCAGCTGCGGATGCAGCCCGTCGAAAAAATCCTGGGGTGACAACGACGCTTTGAGTTGCGCAGAGACCACTGGTCTTGTGAGTACGTCTGACATGCGTCTGCGCGGCTGCCTCGCCCACGAGCGGCGCATCTCGTATCCCCACTGCTCTGCCCACGTCACCAGCCCCAGCGCCCCAAGCAGGTTGGGGCTCCTTTTTTGAAGCCGCTGTATTGCCTCCGTGATGATTCAGGATTTATGTCTTTGCAGTACGGTAACGTGTTGTTGCTTGACTGCATCACAGCCTGGGTGCACCCTGCGCCCGCTGCCGAGTGAGTCTTGGCAATTTTCTCTGGCGGTCTGTCGTCCATGGTGATCTGCCTGTCTGACGTGTCCCACGATCATGTGACGGACCCAAAGCGTCCCTAGCTGGCGGTCTCACCATGCCGGCCGCTTTGCAGGAGAACGACAGCACGCGGCGGCGCGCATGCCGTGTCGTTGAACTTCCCTGCTGTTTTGGGCAACACAGAAAAAATGCCACGCGCGCAAGAAAAGGCAAGGAATTACAGAGTCGGCAGTTCAGACAGTCATAAGGAGAGGTAAGAGAGCATGCTTACAGGGGACGCCGGCGGCCCCAGGGCTGGACGGTTTTCGAGCGGGCGGCCATCAATCTGGAGTGCAATCGCTGCCGGGCTGTGGGGGGTTTTGCAGTGCCATTTTTCAGCCAAGCGGGGCCGCAGGCTCCCGTGAGCGCCGGGTGCATGCGTCAATCTCCTTGCCCCTCTCCGCGCCGGCCCCGCACGACGTAGGGGGGCGCCGAGCAGGGCCGGCGCGCGGAGGGGAGGGGTGCACGCTTGGGTACATGCACGCTAGAAAGGTCCCCTCGGGGGTGAGAGGGGGCAGCCGCTGGTGTTTTTGGCTGTGAGTGCAGTGCACGAAAGCGGCCCTCGCCAAATTCATGGCCTCAGCGAGGGGAGCGGTCGGCAGAGGCGTCGGCGTGAAAACGATGGGAGTGTTGTACCGCGCGCGCGGCGCGGCGCGGCGCGCCCGCAGCGCGGCGCGTGCAAACGCACGCGAGCCATGAGATGAGAGGATTGTGGTAAAATGCTTGCCGCGCAGCGGCGGACCCCCGCCGCCGCTCTGATGATCAGCCGCGCCCCGTGGCAGCCGCTTCGCCGCCCGCGTGTGGGCCGAACCCACACAGGCAGGGGGGTCTGCGCATGCCGGGCGCCCAGTCAGCCAGGCGGGGCGCGAGCACGGATGGTCACAAAAAGATTGGTCCAAGGGCATAGCACCGCCGCAAGTCAATGCGGCGCCGGCGCCGAGTGCATTGGGTCCACAAAGGCTGTGTTGCCGCATCCGCACCGCGCGCGCTCGGAGGCGCCGCCGCCGACGCGCGCCGGGCAGCGGGGCAGGCAACGGTGCGGTCCAGTGTTGATGAGTGAGTGCAGAGGTGAGTGGGGACGCCGCGCCCGCCCGCCTGCCCGTGCCGCGGCCGCGCGTGCCGCGCGTGAAAGTCGTGATCGTGCCTCGATTGTGCCCTCGCAACCTACCATCTAAGTGCTCACCCGATACTCTGCGTCTGCAACGGCGGAAGCAGAGTATCTGCAACGGCGGCCCACCGACATTTGTTTCGTTTCGCCAAACATCACGCGGACCCAGTCGGGTGAGCGGCTGCGCGCGGGAGCGCACAGGAACCGACAAATCCCGAGAAAGGCTCGAATCGGCCAGACCAGGTTAGATCAGATCAAATCGGATCAGATCAGATGAAGGGAGGTAAGATGATACGAAGATTGGCCGCCGAAGGCTCGCGCGCTCAATGGCTGCGGCGGGCAGCCCCTCAATCATGCAAAGAAAGGGGCGCGGGCGCACAACAGGTGAATGAAAAAGGAGACACCCGAGGCAGCAAAATCTGCGGCGGTCAGGGCTGCCATCTAGCCCTTTGAAGCTAGCCGGAGAACAGGCCTGTGGGCAGGTAGCCGCCCCCACCCATCGGGCCCCGCGGCCCACCCAGGCCGCCGGCGCCCGCCGCGTTGCTGCCGCAGCTGTTCAACACGTCTGGGCTGTCCACGCCGCGGTTGCCACCGCCGGCGGGGCCGCCAAACGCCCCGCCGCCAAACGCCGCGCTGCCATGGAAGCCGAGCGGCGCGCCGCCGCCGCCCAAGGGGCCGCCGAACAGCACGCGGGTCTGGTCGCTCGCCCCCAGGCCGCCGCCGGCGCCGCCGACGCCGCCCGCGGCCGCGCCGCCGCCGCACGCGCCGCCGATGGCGTCGGAGTCGTCGGACCCGGGGCTGTGGCCGCCGCCCAGGCCGTCGCCGGCCACTAGATAGTGCTGCTGCTGGTGCTGCTGCTGCAGGTGGTGCAGCTGCAGCGAGCCCTGGCGCTGCTGCATCTGGCGCCGCACAAACGCCTGCTGCTGCTCCATCTGCACGGCCGCCGCCTGGGCGGCGTCGGCAGACATCCCGTGGGTCGCCATCATCTGCGACGCCAGCAGCTGCTGGGTCATCAGCTGCTGCTGCTGCTGCTGCTGCTGCTGCTGCTGCTGCTGCTGCTGCTGTTGCTGCTGCTGCTGCTGCTGCTGCTGCGTTACGGTGCCGCCGGGCGGCAGCGGCGGCAGCGCCGCGCTCCCCGTCCCCTGCAGCTGCCACGACGAGCCGCCGCCCTCAGGCGCCTGAGCCTGCGGCGCCCACGCCTGCACCTGCACGTGCGCGGCAGCGGCCGCGGCCGGCGCCGAGGCCTCGGCCGCGGCCGCGGCGCGTGCCTGGGCGGCGGCGCGGCGCTGCAGCTCTTTGACAGAGTCCCTGAAGCGGACCAGCTGCAGCTGATGCTCTTCCTCCAAAGCCGCGACCCTGTCGCGCTGGCGCGCCTCGAGCATTCGCCCCATCTTGTTGCGGTGCGCCTCGGGGACCTGTGTGGGCGCCGCGTGTGTGAGCTGGTTGTTATGGTGGTGGAGTGTGTGTGTGTGTGTTTGTGCGCACTGCGTGTGAGTGTGTGTGTGTGTGTGTGTGTGTGTGTGTGTGTGTGTGCGCGCGCCAGTCAGCCTGCATACGTGCGTGTGTGTGATGTGGACGGCTTCCATTCAGCGCGTGTTGTCACAGTAACAGCCCTGCCAGACCAGCCTGCACGCGCCGCTCGCAGAACAAACCCTGCAGCCGGCCGCCGCGCACGGCACACAACCGGCATGGGGCACAGATCAGGCGCGCAAGCAAACGGCCGCCGCAGCCGGGCGCCCGGCCGCTCACATTGGTGGATGCCATGGAGTGAAGGACCTGAGCCATCTGAGCCCGCAGCTCCATTTCCACTGTCGCCCTCTGGTGCTCCTGCTGTGCCATCAGCTGCCCCAGCCGCTGCCGCACGGCCGCCTGCACCTGCGGCGGCAGCGCGCACCCATCCGCGTCCGGCGCGCCCGCCGCGGCGGCCGCGTCCGCGCCGTCCGAGGGGCCAGGGGCGGCGGCGGCGGCGGTGGCGGCGGCGTCGAAGCAGGGCGACGGGGCCATTGCGCTCGCAGCGGTCAGCTGCGGTGACTGCTGCAGCTGGCCGAGCGCGGCGGCCTGCGCAGACAGCTGCTGCTGCGGCTGAATCATCTGGCCAATAGGGACCACCGGCGACGACGGCCCCCGTGCGGGCGCCGGCCACCAGCCGCCGGCCTTGCCGCCGGAGGGCAAAGCAGCTTCCTGCCCCTGTTCCTGCTGCTCCTGCTGCTGCCGATTCAGCAGCTGCTGCTGCTGTTGCAGCAACTGCTGCTGCAGAACCTGCTGCTGCGCCTGCTGCCCCGCGCCTTGTAGCAACGCGTCCCCTTGCACAAACGGCCGCTTGGGCACAGGCAGCCAGTGCGCGCCGCTGCCAGCCTTGCCGCCGCCGCCGCCCCCGCCACCGCCGGGAGCGCCGCCGGCGTCCTGCGGCTGGAACTCAATGAAATCCTCCAGAAACGAGTCCACCTCCGCAAACATCCTGTCCCCATCCTCGAATAAGTCGTCGTCCCCGTCCAGCCCCCCCGCCGACGACGCCTGCGCCTGAGCCGCGGCCGCTGCAGGCGGCGCGATCGCGGGCGCGGGCGCGGGCGCGGGCGTGGCGGCGCGCGCTGCGCCAATGACGTCGAGCACGATCGCGGCGCTGCTGCCGCCGCCCTCCCGCGCGGCGGCCTGGAGGATCCGCTGAGCCGCGGCGGCAGCAGCGGCGAGGGGGGGGATCTGGGCGCGTTCGGCAGCGGCCGCGTGCTGCTGCTGCTGCGGCTGCTGCTGCTGCTGCTGCTGCTGCGGCTGCTGCTGCTGCTGCTGCGGCTGCTGCTGCTGCGGCTGCTGCGGCTGCTGCGGCTGCTGCTGCTGCTGCTGCTGCTGCTGGCCCTGCGTCGGCGGCAGCAGCTGCGGCGCCTGCACCGGGGCCTGCCCAGGCGGGGGCCTAGGAGCGGGCGCGGGCGCGGGCGCGGGCGCGGGCTCGCGCATCAGAGCCGCGCCTGCGTGGACCTCGGCACTGCTGCTGCTGTTGGCCGCGCTGCCCTGCCTTTGCAGGCGCTGCTGCGGCGGCTGCGCCGCCGCGGCCGCCGCGGCCGCGGCCGCCCAGCCGCCGGCGTCCGCCCAGGGCGCGCC